CTGTTCACTATACATTATTAATGAACTGGGTGAAAAGGGTATGGTGATTTTGTGCAAATGTTTGCAACAGACTGAAGGAAACATTTCCGTCTGTCAGTCTATATGAAAAAAAAAGTTCTTGAATACCTCGCGCAAATCATATCGATGCATACTGATATCAATAAAAGATAAATAATAAAATCTTAAAGGCAGAGCCTTCCAATTAATACATATATGATACAAATAAACACATTATTTATCAACTGAACAAATTTCATTAAGTTCGGATAAGAAACATTCAAGGTATAGCCGAAATTTGTATTTTCATATTGATCTCATTCCACCATTTAATAGAAAATTTGATACTTGGACTAAAATATATATAATTGAGCTGACTAAGCTGACTCGACTACAGCTTGTCTTACTTGTTATTTTTGTTCTATTTATTTATTATACTTGTAGCATTTACAGCATTTTCTGTTGGCTTGGCAATGCTCTCTCTTTCTCTCTCTCTCTCGCTCTCTCGCTCTCTGCTCCTACGATTTCGCCGTGACCACCAAAAATGCACAACACAGAGCAACAATGGCAGCAACCCTTAGAATTGGGGCCAGTTGGATTTTGTTTGTACCTGCGCAGTGGACATACCCCAAAATGAAGTTTAACGTTTGACAATTGAAACTCGTTGCGACAGCAGCGCATTGTGAATGCCAATGCACCCAATTTAAGAGTGGAGGGGAGGACGAGGGTAAAAAGTTATCTAATTGCACTTGCAACTGCAACCGCGATCACAAAAGAGTAGCCAAAGCCAAAGCAAAATAGCGACCCACACTTGACCGCATGAATCGAGAATCTTTAGAATATGTGTGGGTGTGTGTGCGCCTGTTTTGAGTTTGTGCAACACGCGGTGGCAAGTTGTGTCTGTCTGCTTTGCCTGTGATAATAACTATTACTCGAACAATTCGCAACTCATAATTGGCAACGAGTTGTGGCACTAACAGTAAATACAACTTATGCGAGGAGAGGCTTACTAATTTCTCAATTCGCAAAAAAATAAAATAGTGAAGTAGCTGTCGAGAAAGGAAAATATTTGGGTATAAATATAAATAATTAATTTGAACTTAAGAAAATTCTATCTTCCTCCGCATTTTAATTTTTCAACTCAGTTAAAATAACAAGATTTTAATCAGAAACTCCTGTCCGACTGTAGCTAAAGTTCTAATTTGCACCCCTACTTTCACATTTTAACTCAGTTTAAATATACATTTATAGATTATATTTAGACTCGTCAATTTTTTATATCCTGTAAGCAATACTCAAGGAATAACCCTCGCTGGCATTTCCTTGTGTTTCCGCATTACAAATTGGGTTAAGTGGACTCTTATTATATCATATTCGAGTTGGAAGGGGCTCGTCAGACACCCGACAAAAATACAAGAACCATTCATTTACGAAATAGTCGAAAAAACGTAAATTCTTTACTTTAAACCCAGAAATCTGTTCAATAATATATACATTTATAAGTATATTTTAAATGTATTATATATTTCATAATACAAATAAGATATATCCCCAATTATATAAAGGCTATAAAGGCCTGGTGCACCCGACAAAAGTACAAGAAGTAAAAATGGAATGCTCTTGCATAAATGAGACAAATAATGATGTGTTTTTGACAAAATGGTATATTTCTATACTACAATAAACATGATTTCCTCTTTACTGTTAATATTACTCTTTACTTTTAAGACCGTAGTGAGATCGGATTAATAATATATACATATAAATATATTGGGGTCCGCCTAAATGCCGCAGATATTTCATGATAAAAAATATGACATGTGCCCAGCTAGGTTATAAATAGACGTGTCTATCTGTCTGACTGTCTGTCCCTTTATTTTGTTGTAGGCTCGCAAACAGGAGCCTTATTTATGACAGCAGGCGAATTGCGGCCGTGCCTAGAGTGTTAGATAAGAACTGAAGGGGGAGTTGGAACTGGATGGGACTAGGTGGGGTTTGGGGTTGGTTGGGGGTAAGTATGTGTCAGAGTGGCTAAAACGAATTAGATCTGTGACATTTTTATTGCTATTTAGTTTCGCCAGGATGTGCACAGGTGAATGAACTTTTTGTTGGCCCACGCATAGTTAAGAGCTAGAAAAGCCTAAATTTCAGTTTTTGCTTTGTAAGTATTGATTTTAGTGCTGCCACATTGGATAAGGAAATAAAAGGAAATCATGCGCTAATAAATATTTGTGAAATGTGAACATTTTGACATTAGAGCAAAAGCGCAAAAGCGTATTATATCTATAAACTATAGAACTTTCCCTCATGGCTTTTGTCAATTGAAATTTGAGGAGCAGTCAACCAAAAAGATGCCAACCCAAAAAGGTCGAGCGACCTGCAGTTGAATGTCCTTTTGATACCAGAGCAACAGATAAGCGACAGCAAGAAGCGACAACAACAATAACAGTCTACAACAACAACAATCAACAGCATATGTGGCAAGACTTTCGATTTTTGTTGCAGACAAGCATTTTTTTTTTTGTTCGCTTTTCTATTTACTTGCCCCGTGTCGGAGTGGGGAAAACAACAACAGCAACAACAACAAATATTGTAAACAGATACCCAAACAACAATTACATATTATATATAGAGAGAGAGCACATCAAATACAGACGAATTCCCGCATGTGCAGTTTATTTTGACTGGCGAAATGTTGAACTCCCCAAAAAGTTGACCTCACGTTGAACTCATAAAATGTCTAGACAATAATATAAAAATATAATCAAGTAATGTTTAGTTAATGCTGAGCGACTTTGTCGACAAATTCCATTATATGCTGAGATTTTCGTCTTTAATAATGTCAAGAACAAATTTTATGCTTTTAAAGCCAAAAACATAATATGTATTTTTTTAAATACACAAAAAGATATTTTCTTTGTATGCTCTTATTCCAGTTTCAAACCAAGCGCAACTCGATACAGCAACCACTTCGAAAAAGCTTTCGAAGTTGGCAGCGTATTGTTAGTCGATACACGAACACCACGGCAAATGCAGCACATTAAGCTTTAAAAATTTTCTTATTTGTTAAAATATATCTGAAAAATGTTAAAAAGATAATAAATTGTGTATCGAAATTTAGTAAGGGACTGTTTTTTTTTTTAGCATCAAACAAGATTAATAGAAACGAGCTGCATAGCTTGACTTTAATGTATTAATTTTATTATTAGTAAAATTATTGTTGGCTTTTCGATATGAAAAATGGATCACATCTTTATTCAAAGCATATAAAATGAAATGGATTAGAAAACGCTTAAAAAAAACAAAAACACTAATTAAGAAACAATTACAATATTGACATAAGCTACAAAACAAAAGCATAAGCAGCAGAAATTTAAGAAAAGAAATAACATCTACGAACAAATAAAACAAAATATTGACAATAATATTGCACGCTTGTTTTTCTTTTAATAACATTTTATTACTAATAAAATTTGTGTGTATGCGTCGCAGGTTTTTTTTTTTAATAATGTTAACATTTATAGAGAAATTATAGCAAACATTTCTACTTAAATAAACGTAAGGAAAATCGTTATTTGAAACATATATTATGATTACTTAAATTAGTAAATTTTGAGCTGAAAATATAGAGATTTTTAGAAATGTTTTATGATTAGTCAATATAAAAGAATATATATGTATATAAATTTTACTTTTTTTCGTTGTTACTGTTTCAATTTTTTTGTTTTGTATTTGATCGTGTGCTTAACTTAAAACAATGATTAATATTAATAATTATTGAATAGAACGAACGTAATTAAGCAGACATTCGAAATCATTGGCACAAGTTGCAATTAAATTAACAATAAGAATTATGCATTAAGAAAATTATAAACAAATGAAAACGATTAGTTTTGAAATGTGTGAATGAAATACATAACTCTATGTAAACAATTGCTTGGAAATGAGAATACTTTTGGTCTATGTAGAAATAATAATAGCTAAATGCACATTTTACATATGCAATAAAAAATGACATTTTATAATGTTGCGCATTAATTACAACGTTAACGAGAAGGACAACAACAATGAAGTGCAACTGCAACAAGTTCGTTCAGCTGAGCGCAATTGCAACAATGATAATCACACCAATTACAATCAGACACAACGTGAGCAAATCATTGGGCGTAATCAGACCCACGGTGCAGGCGAAAACTATGTGCTCCAGTGTTGTCAAACCGCCGCGTGTCAACCGCGCCCCCGCCATCTCTGCTGGTGCATGCAATGTGCGCAACTCGCCGAAGACGGAGAGCGCTTTCGAACTTGTCGTCGGCAGTTCGTCATCAGCGTCAGCGTCGTCGACGACGTCAACGCCAGCGACACTGTTTGCCAACGCCGGAAGTCCTTGGCGTCGCTGGGTCGTCTCATTTTCGTTACGACTGCGCTGCTGCTCATTACGTGCTAAAGTATCCTTAATTGGCACATCATTTTTGCCGGCTTCGTTGTTAATTTCTTCTTTGATGGCATCCGGCAGCGTCGCTGCTCGGGTTTCAGTTTCGTAATTGAGTTTCAATTCGGATATGCTCAGCTTGATTTGCGGTGTCTCGTAAACGATGCTCTCAGTTAGCTCAACGGGATCACATTCGTCAAGTTCGATAAGCAGCGCTTCGTCAAGTGCACTCGCAACCAGCTCAGCGTCGTCAAGTGCTGGTTGCTCTTTTATTAGAGCTTCACTCGCCAAATCATAGACAGCCACACTAAGTGCGAGTGTTTCGTCAAATTTTGAAATGTCGTCAAGTTTGTCTTCGCCAATTTTGTGCTCATTTTCCTCAAGTTGCTGCTGGTCTTCTTTTAGTAGAGCTCCACGCGCCAGATCATAGACAGCTTCGTCAAGTTTCAAATTGTCGTCAGGTTTGCCAGTTCTGTGCTGATCTTGGCCAAGTTTGGCCTGCTCACGCAAACCTTCGAGCAATTCTTCCTCTGTAGGCAAACGTGGAAATTCCTCTTCCCCATCTGAGACTAATGGCTTCTTCTTCCTCTCGATATCGTTATCGATAACAATGGCATTTATCGATACCTGTGTGACGTAGTGCTCCTTAACCTCAAAGCGGCTATTATAAGTCGTTTGCAGCTCAATGGAATTATTGGTCTGGGCTGTGGAAAGCGGAAAATCAGCCAAGCTGGCATTACCCGAATCCGGATTGGAGGATATCTCCTCCTCCTCCCCAAGCGAGCTCAATGAATCGAACTGGGTCACGTTAGTGGCCGGTGCAGTTGCAACTTGCTGCAACTGTGGTCTATCCATAACAATGCTGATGTTGCTGGCATAAATGCGATTAAAATTGGGCGAAAGTTTTAAATTCGTCTTCGTCTCCGGCTCCGTCTCCTTCTTCAGCTCCGCCTGCTTTTCCTGTTCCCGCTCCGTGTCCTGCTCCAGTTCGAGCTCTAGCTCTGGTATGGTGGCTAACTTACAACTATGACTACTGCAATTACTAGCATTAGTGGATGTGGATTGGGTATTGTCTGGTGAGTAGCTGCTGCTGCTGGTAGTGCTAGTAGTAGTAGTGGTGGTAATAACATCGATTTGAGGGTCAACATTTAAAACTGGATTAGTAGTGGTAGCTTGAACGAGAGCACTGCGGGGATTAGTAGCGGCATCTGAGGAGCTCAACTCCTGGCATTCAGATTGGACCTGGCCAAGTTGCTGGGCGGGGACAAGGCCTTTACCTGTTGCTGGCTTGCGTTGCTTTTGCTTCTGCTTCTGCTTCGGTTTCTCCTCAATGCCAAAAATGGCTGCCAGCTCCTCGCTGGAATTGTACTGAGATGGCGAGGAGGAGCGTGCTCTCCGCTCACCCACCGGCGTCAACTGCAACGGAGGTGATGGTGATGGCGACGGGGAGGCAACGCTGGCGGTTTGATTTTCACTCGTGTTGCTGTTGTTGTTGTTGGTGCTCAAGGTGCTGTTGTTGTTGCTGTTGGTGCTCAGCGTGCTATTGTTGTTGTTGTTGGTGCTGTTCGATCTGGTCGATTGCACATCATAGGATGTGGTGCTGAAGGTCTTGATAGGATCAGTGCTGGGTGCATGATAATCACTGCTCTGCGACTTGATGTAATCACTCGACGAATACGGATTGAATGAGGTAATGCTCGAGGAGAGAGCCCGACCCACATTTGAGGGACTCGTCGACTTGGCCAGACAATCACTGCTCGAACTGAAGGAGGAGGCAGTGGTGCTGACAGTGGCACCACCACCACCACTGCTCATGCTGGGCGCCGTGGTGCGCTGATCATCGGTGCCAGTGCCAGATGTGGTGGTTACTGTTGTCATGCTGCTGCTGCTGTTGTTGTTGGTTGCAGTTTGTCGAGCTTGTCGCTCGCATTCCAGCATAATGCGATCTATGTCCTCGTTGGGAGCTGTTGTTGTAGTTGCTGCTGCTATTGCTGTTGCTGCCCTCGCCTCTGCAATGGGACAAATGAGAGTGGCATCAGCGTGGACTTGTTGTTGTTGTTCGCAACCAGCTACAACAGCTGCTCCAGCTGTGCTCAGTGTATTACAGTTGGCCAGATTGTCGTAGTCCGGCGGTGGTTGCGCCTCGGCCAATTCGCTCAGTTGTCGCATGCAACGCTTAGCAATCGCCTCGATTTTCTCCGATTGTATGGGATCCAGTTTCTTGATCAGATGTGGCATCACCAACTGTTGCTGGTGAGCTGCTGGCTGCTGTTTCACCTGTCGCGCCTCGTGCACCACCACTGGTGGCTCTGTTGTCACAATATCCTTGAGTATCTTCTCGCAAACGGCATTCGCCGCCTCGGATACCTCATCGATGGCCCGAATCAGTTTACCCTCCTTGTGCAGCTTGCGGGGATTAGGTCGTTGCTGGTTGCCTCCAGCTTGCTGCTGGCTGTCCGTCCGATCTTGGTCAGGCAGGGTTTCTAGCAGCAGTTGGCCACAACGCTTGGCCGCCACGGAGACTGCCTCGATCTGTTGCAGCTCCTGCTCCAGTTTCTGCTGCTCAGCATTGAGCTTGGGCCTGGCGGCCGTGATGAGCGCCTCCTTGCGCAACTCATCCAGCTCCTGCGTCAACTTGATACTGCTCGCCTGCGCATCCTGCGCAATCTTATTCAACGCATCCTCCAGCAGCGGTTCGGGCGTTAGACTCTTCCGGGGCGCTGGCACAGGTGCCAACTTGGGCGTCGCAGTCTCCTCTTGACCCAGTCGCTCCGGCAGCTGGGCAATGGCGCCACCTAGACTGGGATGTCTGAAGGGTATGTGCGGTTTCTTGGCCAACTCCTCGTCCTGTGCCTTCAGCTTCCGCAACAGGTCCAGGGTGCAGGGTATGTCATTCTTCTTTTCCTCCTCCTCACTGCCGCAAAGATTTGACATGGAACCGGCACGTTCGATGCTGCGCGTTAGCTCCATGTAGCTACCAAGATCACCGCCTGACGGCTTGGCCGCCGCCCGTTGGATGAGGCTGTAGATGTTGGCAGATTGGGTGCGTGTAGCGCGCTGTTTCTTGCTCTGCACGGGATAGACGTAGGTGGATTTGGGTCCGGGTGGATCTTTGCGCAGTGCACGCACTGCCAAATCATCCTTGACGATGTCCGGGGACCCGGTCTTCTTCTTCGGCTGCTGCACCGGTTCCACATGGAGATAATCGCTCTGTGGAGCGGGCACAATTGGACCAACGGGTATGCCAAATGGAGGCTGTCTGTCCGCGTGGCGATGCTGCAAATTGGATAACTGCAGATTGCGATAGGCGACATCATCGCGCACCGGATCCGGTTCACCGCCAGGCGAATCCTCATCCTCATAGTCGTCGGCATGCGCCAAGGCGAACTTCTCGAAATCGCTCGGTGTCGGCATGCGTGGCTTGGGCTCCTTCTTCAGCTCCGCCTTAGACTCCACTGTCTCCGCGGGTTCTGTGAGTCCCAACGACTTGTAGATGGCCTCCAGCTCGTTGATGGCCTCCTCCAGATTAGCGGGCTTCTTGCGTGGTAAATAAATTGGAGGCGCTGGTAAACTATTTTTACGTTCGCTGAAAATGGCTGGTGGCGCCTGTTGATGCTGTTCCCGCTTCTCGGCCACATACTCTTCGTACTTGTTGGGCAGATCCTCGCCAGAGCGACGCTGCTGATAGTGATGCGGCATCGAGTTGGTCTTGTGCACATCCCGGTGCCGTATTTCCACATAATTCTGACTGCCATGCTCGCCGGGCTTTATACGCAAACTGCCACAGATGACGTTGTCTGGCTCAGGAGCTGGAGCTGGAGCAGGAGCTGATCTCTTGGGCTTTTGCACCTCTGAGTACATGGGCATGGGATAGCTGCGCAGCTCACTAATCCTCGAGCTGGAAATGGAGCGTGGTTTGGCTAGGGGCTGCTTCCATGTCTCGTTGGAGGTGGGCAAACCACTCTTGGAAGTGCGCAAGACACCACTGTAAGCGGGAAGACCCGACTGTGATCCATCAGCAGCTGCAGCCCCACTCGTGTCCAGCATGTGTATGGGCTTCCTGGAGCGCGGCGTTGCATCTGCCATATAATGAAAATCAACGATGCCATTGGGCAGCGATTTCTTGCCAGGCAACGCATTGCGCTCCGAGCGCGTAATAAAACGTCGATGATGAGGCTGAGATTGGCTGGCCTGCTCCGAGTTGGTACTGCCTGGCTGTGAGTTGAGCGAGTGAACCGATTGATAATGCGGTGGCTGCCACATGCGATCGTCCGAGACACAGCGACCACATTGATCAAAGGCATAAGAGACTGGCCGCAAATCACCCGAACTGCAACCGATGTGAACACGACGCAGTGGATCCCTCGGCGGTGGTGGTGGCGGCAACACTGGTTTACTCGACATCCTCCGTCCACCGCTGGCATTCTGCAAATGGATTTGGCTGTCGTAGCTAATGCTACGCTTTGCATCATTCTGCATACTGTTCTGCAACGGACGCCATTGAACGTAGGCTGGGGAGGCAGAGGAGTTGGTTGCCTGGTAGATGGAGAGTGGCAGTGGTTGCGTCTTGTAGCGCTGCGTGGGCGCGGGCACATGATGCAAGTGCAACTGCTGCTGCTGCTGGAGGGGATATTGCTGCTGGAACTGTTGCTGCTGCAGGAGTTGCTGTTGCTGGAGATGCTGCTGCTGTAGCTGTTGCTGCTGCTGTAGCTGTTGCTGCTGCTGCAACTGCTGCTGTTGCTGGTGCGGTACACCGCCATGACTGATCTCCCCATCCCGAGACAAACGCTTGTAATATCGCTCATTGCGAGCGGCGCGACTGCGTCGACTAGACGGACCACCGGACAGTGCTTGACCACCACTATGAATGCTCTCATCGCTGCGATACTTGGAGAAAGTAGAGGAATTCAACGAAATTAGCTCTTCCTCGCTAGAGTGACCAGGCTTGCGACTGACACGTTGCGTGGAACGCGATTTCTGTGAAGGAAGCAACTGTTGCTGCTGTTGCTGCTGGGATAGATAGAGCCGGCGATCGAGGGAGTTACTGGAGCGACTATTGTAACCAGGTTGATTCTGATAGTAGGGCTCTGGGGGCACCATCTCAACGGGCAGAAAGAACTCGTCGTGCAGCTGGTGATTTTGCGGAGGTGTTGCTGCTGCTGCTGGCAACACAATGTGATCAAAGCCAAGTGTTTTGTGACTGCTGCTGTTCCGAATTGATTTCTTCGCTTTGGACTTGGGCACAAAGCCCGCCTTGCGATCTTCTTCGCTGGAACTGGCGCTATTGTTCTCCGCTTCCTTCTTCTTGTTGCGAAAGATTCGGCCAAATGACCATTTCTGCTTATTGGACAACTGCTGACCAGATCCAACGCCACCTCCTCCACTCAAGCTGCTGTGCTGTTGATGGCTGCGCAAACGATCCATTTCCAGCTCGTCGAGGTTGTCGTTGGTTTTTGCTGCTGTCGCTGATGTTGCTGATTTCGGTTTCGTGTCGTCGTCGGCGCTATTGCGTTCATCAGTCAAGTGTAGCTCCTTGGGCAGCGGCAACTGGGGACGCCAAGTTGTTTGAACAGTCTGCAGGAAGAGAGATAGAGAGAGAGTGAGAGAGAGAGAGAGAGAGAGAGGGAGAGAGAGAGAGAGAAAGGGAGAAGAGAAAGAGGGATATTAATTAGTTTTAGGCGTCAAAATCAAGATTAGTTGTATTTAAACACTTGTTTTATTCGCACTTAATGGGCCTACGCTGTGTTGCCCTATTGTTGTTGTACTCAATGAATTAACTTGGCTCAAAGACCCCGATATAAATCTCTGCATAGATGGCTTTTTTTAATGGCTGGTTTGCGAGTATTTCAAGCAGCGACTACCTTCAAATCATTTTGGCTGCTTTTTATGTTTTAATTTTAATGGCCTTACGTCGTTTCCATAACAACTATAACACAGATAACTCGACTCAGACCAGGGTCAATGCTCCCCCCTTGTTCAAGATTAGCTGACTTAGTCCGCTCTCAGTTGAGATCTATTGTGCACTTGCAGCTTTCTGTTCTGGATCAATCAAGTCAAAATTTGCATACAGCTCCCACGACACAGCCGAAAAATAAAGTTTACTTTTGCCTGTCTCAGCTCATTATCATATTATTTAGGTACTTGGCATAATACTCTAATTGCTACGCAGAAAAACTGGAATGACTACAATGGAAATCTTATCAAGCAACATGATAAAAAGATAATAAAAACTATTAAAGTTGATGACAAGTTCTATAACACTCAAGGAATATTGATCTACGCCACGAATCGAAGGGGTAGTTTAGTACTTGGTTACAAGACATTAAGCTAAATCATCATGTTGTAAAATAAAATAAATATCTACGTCAATCAGATTTAGACTTGATGGAAGAAAAATGATTAATTTTACTTAGACCTCTTCCACTTTTAAATACTATATACAAATATTGTACAAAAATAAACGAAATTGCGTGTGAAATTCAATTTCTTTTTCAATTTTTTGTTTATAGGAAGAAGAAAAAAAAGCTCTAAAATTGGGCGTGGGATCCAAATACAATAATGATTATGATGATGATACATCATTTCCACTGCTGACGCCACTGGGACGACAACGACGATATTGCGGCATTTCTGAGAACCAAGAACAACACTTGACTTATTCAGGCCGAAGGGCATCTTTTATGGGCAAATAAACAAACGTCAAGTATAGACATAAACATGATACGGAGACATACAGAGGGATTATGATTAAATTTCGATTGATATTCGATAGCCTGACCGGAAGTGATTGAATGGAAGTTAAAGACCAGCAGACAACAACATGGTGAATAAGATGTTGCCACAAATTAGTTTTCAATATAGTTTTTGACAAATTTAAAAGCACATTAATAATTCTTGGAGAATTATTTCAACATTTATAGCACGTGTTTTTTACAAGAGACATTCACAATGATTTATAGACTGGAACACATAACGCAACTCGATTCTAAAAACTGGCCACATAAACAACAACAGCAACAACAAGCAGCTACGTGACTCAGTTTAAGGCAACATTAAAAATGTTTAACTGTGTAATTCTGTAAAATTATAAGGGAATTTATGCAGCAAAATTCAGACAGCTGCGTAACGTCGGGCAATTTGCCAGCGCACAAATCACTCATACGCACTGTGCAACGCGTGTCTATGGCGCAAATAAGGAAAACACAATAGAAACACACACGCACACACATGCACAGGGGTGTGTGAGTGTGACAACTAAAAATAAGCACGCAAAACTTCAGACACAAAAAATGTACAAAAGGAAATTTCAACTTCTGTTTCTGCCGAAAAAAGCGATAACAAAAACAAATTTGGACTCCAATCGAAATGGCAAATCTGAATTGAAGCTCAACAGCACACGGAATAATGTATGTGAAAATTTATATAAAAATAAAATAAATTAGTTTCAAGTGAAAAGTGAAAATTTACGCGCGCTGTAAACTTGTAGATGCGAAAGCGTTCAGTCGACTGATAGGACAGGAAAATCTGTGAAGCGATCACCGTGAACGGAATGCCCCGAAAGCTTTCTCGGGAAGCTCTCGCTCTCTTACACTCTTAAGTTCTAAGAGAGAGAGAGAGAGAGAGAGAGAGAGAGAGAGAGAGAGAGAGAGAGAGAGAGAGCGAGAGAGCCGATGCCTTGGGCTGATTTAATGGGTTCCTCGGCATGAGCTGAGCACCAGCATTGCAATTAAGTAAATATACTCGCCGTAACGAAATCAAAATGTTTTTCCATTTAGTTTTCCAGATCCGCATCGGATCGTTTTAAATTGTATTAAGTCTAAACAGTCAATGACCTGATCCCAAAAGTGAACAAAAGATATAAACTCGATTCAGTGGAAAACCCCAAATAAAAAGCTTTTCCACCCACTTGCCCAGTGGGAAAGTCAATGTAGATCGGGAAATGTGTCACCTTAAATTAACAGACTCATTAAGGCCATGAGTCTTGCATGCCACAAAACAACAACACACACATTAAGTGATATAATAAAATCTGTGTGTGTGTTTTTTTTAAATAGATTGAATAAGGTGGAATACTTGAAATTTTCACATCTTGCTCCAGTTGGACTGACAGTGGAATTTTCAGGGCGAGTGACAGATATTTTGACAGATTTGGGGGAAAATGGAAATGGAATCCGAAACAGACAAAAAACACAAGATTTGAGTGTAATGCGGAAGTTATTCGCGTTGTCGAAAAGTAAAAGCAAATTACTGTAAAGTGGGCGCAAGTTTCGTCGTCGTCGTCGTTCTCGTTCGCGCTGATCTATATATAGACAGATATTTGCTATATATAGAGAGCAGAGAGCATAGCAAAAGCAAATCGAATATGGGTCAGTGGGCATTTTGGCAAAGTCACCGAGATTATAATCTAAAGCAAACTCAGAACTTGGTATTTAAGTCTTTGAAGTAAGCAAAATAAGGTAGCAAATAATTTGAATATTTATTAAAATAGCAAAACGATTTGCAGCTGCTCAATCGAAAGGTCATGAACTGAAACTGAAAACGCATTCGTTTTATAATTTGCTGTCAAAATATGCATTTATTCACAGGGGCATTGCACACACAAGTTTAATGACTTTTACCTTACTTTACATCTTTTATTAATAATTGTTTTCAATTTATTTTAGTTTCTTTTTCTTTTCTGACTAATATGTGTGGCACTCAGAAGTTCGCTGACTGCAATTTATTTCGTTGCACATATGATAAATATTTATCTCTAACAATATAGGTGAAGTAGGAGACTTATCTAATAGCAGTCCTCTTTTGGGCGTAGCATCTTGAAAACAAACATCAAACGAAAATGAAGAAATTTTGAAGTAGACAACAAGTGGCAAGAGTCACGAGGCGTTGAGCTCGACACGCCAACTGCTAATAATAAATTAGGGATGCCACAAGTTGCATAGTAGTAAAAATAATAACAACACACACACAACACATACCATGCATAATCCATACTAATTTTCTTAGGGTCAATGACAGACCCTAGAGCGAGAGCTAAGCTGAAGGGGACCAACAAAGTTGGTCAACTGGAAAAAAGGAGTCAAATGGAAAAAGTCTGTCAGCAGGAAAAGCGCTGAAAATTGTTTGTTTATGCACAGCACGTGTTGCATTTCAACTGCAGCTTGTGGTACAACTTGGTTGTTTATCCAGTGGAGCTAATGATTGTTGTTGTTGCAACAATGATATCCAATGCGTGAGTGAGCAGCGGGCGGCGGGGCATTTTGATGGCAACAGGAAGTTACATATTAAACGTTGTTTTAGTTCTTAATTTTGGGCATTTTTTAATTATGTAATTTTTTCGTTTTCCGAATGGGTTGAAAACTTCAAGTTAATTACATTTTTTGGGCAAATTCCTTTTGTTTTGGTTATAAATTAAACATATATACAGCTGCGGTCCAAATAATGGTAGAATGAAGAAAATAATAGGTAGAATATAGTTCAAATATCATGACAATTTTATATGAATACATGCACTTAATACTCAAGCCAAAAAATAAGTCTTTAAATTTATCACAAATGAGAGCCCGTAAAAATAATAGTACTGAAGCTTTCTTAGCTTGCCCTCCCATTGTATATAATCATAGCTATAATTGTATGGTATTTTTAAATCATTTTCGATGAGAAACTATCCATTTGTTGTTTTGCATAATGGATTAAGGGGCTATGAATATATTGAATATTTGCACTCTATGAAGCAGCACTACTACTATTATATATATATACATGTTGTAATTATGTGTGCATACACAAAAATAAATTAATTTCAACATAATTTCATATTTACAATTCTGTCCAAGCAAACTTTACTAGTTTGCATTTAGACATAAACATATATGTATATTGCCCTTAAGACGTAAACAAAAACATTTGAAATCCGAAACTCTTCGCTTTCATTTTCAAAATGCCCGGCCAATGAACTTGGCCAGCGAGCCGCAAAAAAAAACAAGAAAAAAATCAAGCTGACCGAGTAAAGGCAGCCAAAGACATGTTAAATACCACAAAGATATTTGACACGCATCTGAAGTGGCTACACGGAGATCGGGCAGGGCCTGAGTTGGCCTATTGGTTTAACATATTGTACATCGAATCTTTCAACTTTCACTCGGACGTCATTAGTTTTCACCCGTTCCGGACGCCAGAGGGCGCTGCTATGCATCTATATGTAATCAACATACTCGTAATACATAAATCGATTTTTAATTGTTTTTTGTTATTGTTGTTGTTGTTATTTCATAAGCCCTCAAAAAGCTACCTGTTTGTGGTAGCAAGTTCGCTTTAGTTTAATAAGACACAAATTACTTTGTAGAGACTGTTGTGGCCTTAACGGAGACCCCGACAAATTTGTAACATTTATCTGTATATGGAAACCCAAAAAAAATTTGCATAGTTACGCAAAAGTGATGAAAAGTTTTTTACAAGACCTTTGATATGGGAAATGCGAACAACAACAATATCTACAAGCATTTGTGGGAACTTTTCAACTACTCCTCAACGAACTGAAGCTGAAGACGAAGCAGAAGCGACAGCTGAAGCACTCA